ATGTTTCCTTAAAGCTTAGGAGCAATGTAATTGGGTTGTCATCCTTGATATACTTGAGCCGTTATTGTTGATTGTTGGCTTCTCCAGTTGATATAATCTTCCCTTGTCGGGATTCTTATTCAGTTAGTAGCGTCCCTATGTTGGACACGACTTAGAGGCCATTTGTATAGGTTGCTCATAACTAAATTGCTCGCTTTAGCGATTGGATTGTTATTGTTGCCCTTGGGGCTATTGTGGTTAGCTGCAGGAATGTGATCTACACCTAGAAGGTCTATGTTCTGCCTACGGGGCTATATCGATGCCTAGAAGGGTTATGAGTTGCCTACGGGGCTATATTGATGCCTAGAAGGGCTATGAGTTTCCTACAAGGCTATATTGACGCCTAAGAAGGCTATGTGCTTCCTACATGGCTATGTTGTTGCCTAAGAGGGATATGAGTTCTCTATAAGCTATGTTGATGTCTCAGAGAGCTATGTGCTGCCTACGGGGCTATATTAATGCCTAAGAGGGAAATATGACTGCCTACGGGGTTAGGAGACTACCGATAGGGGTATATAGACTGATTGGCACCTTCCGGGCTTATGAGGGCCTGAGTAGGTGGTCTTTTCTGCTGTTTGTACCTGCCGAGCTTATGGGGTCTTAGTTAGATTGTTGTTTTATTTTTTTTGATAAGTTTAGATTTAGAAGCAGGTCAGTACACTTATCTTATCCTTGATTTATTTATCGGATTATTCCAGTATATTAGGATACCTGCTCATAATCTATTGCCTTTCATACTCTGTACATTATTTTGTACTGACGCCACATTGCCTGGGGGCGCTGCATTCATGCATGCAGGTCCCGACAGACGACCGAGTAGACCTCCTCAGCAGCAGGATTGACTTCTATCCGGTTGGCTAGCCCCTTTCCTCCGGAACTACCAAAGTTTGGAGGTTAGTTAGCTTTTGTTGTATATATTTTTATGGGTAGGCTGGGGCCTTGTCCCACCAATCTTTACTACTCTTAGAGTCTTGCAGACTAGTGTGTGGGGTTTATAATTACGTTATGGCAATGCTGGCCTAGTTTTGTTGGTTTGCTGAAGCTTGTTAGTTGTGTGATACATTGTCTTGTTATATACCTTCTTTCAGTTTTGTTATAAAGATCATGGTGGCCTTGACGGCCCAATCAGGACTTCTGTGCTAGTTGGCAATTTCTTTATATGAACTCTTGGAAGTAGTTGTTTCTTTTGTAGATATGTTGACAGAGGTCTTGCCGGTCGAGGGCTTAGTTTTAAGCCGAGATATACTTGTTTGTTTTCTTGATTGCGTGTGGCTGCCATGTGCTAGTAGCAAATGGTTTAGCAGGGTCGGCTCGGGCCTGAGTTTTGGCATTAGGAGCCAGTTGCCCCCTCTGAGTTTGGGCCGTGACACTTCTTTACGTAACTTTGATCAGTTGAAGTACTTAGAGAGAATAAAGGTTGATCCAACAATAATATCTTCTTATTTACTTTGTACATAATGAATAGAGACAATGTGTAGTAGCATTTTGCTTTTGTGCGTTTATCCTAACTATTTTTGTATTTGTTCTATGTTAATATGCATCCTAAAATATACTTATCTAAACGTACTCTACTGTTGGATTTTATGGTAGGGTGACATGAATGCTTCAAAATTTAAAAAGTCTTAAATGGGATCAAGTTCAAAAAAATTTAAGCAATCATTCCTTCCACCTGGTGCTTTAGCGAGGGGACGAGGCCAAAGCCTCAAATCGATGGGCACTGTAACGGTAACTGCTGAAAAGAGAAACTTGATTGATCAAACAGACATAACGCTAGAGACTATGAGAAGCAAATCAGGTATTGTATTTTATTTTCTCACGCTATAGATATATACTATTAGATGATTATTTATTATTTTCTCAAGCTACAGATGTCTGTACATTGAGTTTTCTTACGTAACTAGATACTATCATTTCCATATAGTAATGTGGATTTCCATTTTGTCCCTGCTCTCTGATCTAGAATAGTTTTGAAGGATGTTTTGTTTAAGTTGATTGCAGATCTAACTTTAGGAAAGTGCACTTCCATAGTAATTTTGAATAGGTCTAAATTGATGTTTGTTTAAATTGATTAATTTTATAAAATCTTGTATGGAGAAGCCTCAGAGAAGAAATCAGGTTATTGATTGTACTGATTAACCAGTTTGAATTGCAGAAAAGGAAATCGGACATAACTTTACATCTGGGAGATCTGTTAAAGAAAGTATTTTAAGAGGAAGCGTCGAAAAGAGAACAATGGTTGGAAACAACAAAGGTTTAAATTCTGCAACATATACTCAAAATGTCGTTGCGCAGAAGATTAATGTCGTCCCTCCTGGTTTTGATACCTTGGAAGATGAAACTTCCTTTCCTAATGATGATCTCGAAGTAATGCAAGAGACTGTAACAAGCAAACCAAGTTTCTAATCTGATTTCATTTTCTTAGTATGAAAAAATTATTATTGTTAGATGATTAAGGTTGTATAATGTTTGAATTGTAGCAAAGGAGAATGGGTAGAACATTACAACTGTGTTCTCTATTAAAGGAAGTAATGTTGTACAGAGAACTTCTATTGGGAAAAGTAAAAATTATTGTGTTCCATCTTCTGATAAAAATGAACTAGCACACAATAAGAATCTTATGCAACTTGGTTTTGATCCAATAGAGGTTGATACTTTCTTTCCTCGTGATGATCTTGAAGTAATGGGATGAGGAAACAGGTTTACATCTCCGAGCTTTGTAAGAGGAGACATCGGAAAGAGAATAATGATTGGAAACAACAAAGGTTTAAATTCTTCAACATATACTCAAAATGTCGTTGCGCAGAAGATTAATGTCGTCTGTCCTGATTTTGATGCAATCGAAGTTGAAACTTCCTTTCCTCATGACGATCATGAAGTAATGCAAGGGAACATGAGAGGCAAACCAGGTATTTTATTTTATTTTCTAAACATGCAGATTTATTTGATTTATTTCAGTTTGACATTTTGTAATGTTCTTATTATAGGCAAGGAAAACGGAAAGTACATTACATTTGTGGGTTCTGCCAGAGGAAGTACTTTTGTACAAAGAACTTCGATTGGAAAAAGTAAAGGGTATAGTGTTGTATCTTCTGATATGAATGAACCAGCACATAATAAGATTATTAGGCAACCTAAGTTTAATCCAATAGGACATGACGCTTCCTTTCCTCATGATGATCTTGAAGCAATGCAAGAGTCTTTGAGAAGTAAATCAGGTATTTTACAATCTTCAAGGTCTTATATACACAGTAGTCCAAGTATGTGCTCTAGAAAAGCAAGTAGAACTCCCTCCCCCCATATGTACCTATAAGAACTGGTACCTACTATATTACTACTGATATGAAATTGCTTCAAGTTTATTTCCTTCTGTAGTTTGTTTTATGGTGTCCTTGATCTAGTCTAAAATATGTTACTTTTTGTACCTTGATACATCCTACTCCACTGGTCATTACTTTCCTAAGGACAGAATTTCCCGAGCTTTAGTAGATAATTCATTTTGTTGTTAGTGGACTGAGTTTATTTCAATGTTTTATTAGCAAGGGAGCGAGCACAAAGCTTTACATATGTGGGCTCTCCGAGAAGGTGTGCTGAAAAGAGAACTTCGAATGGAAAAAATAAATTTTCTAGAAATACAGAGTATGATCTGAATGAACTCACACAAGATGATCTTACCCTTCCTCAAGATGAAGTTGAAGTGATGCAAGACACTCGGAGATGTAAAACAAGTATTTAACTCTCTGAACTATTAGAACTTCTGCGTTGTTTATAGATTGAGATTCTGTAATGTTTGACTTATGTCAAAACTTGTAGGTTCATGTGTATTTGACAAGATAAAAAGGTTAGAGGACCAAATTTGTGTAAAGTTGTTACAGGACTCAAACCTAGAGAAAAAGCTTAGAATCACTTTTTACCACAATCGAGTTGTTGGGGATTATCACGCTTTATTTTTGAGATACTTAGGTTCCTTGGTTCGTGATCGTAAAATGTGTCCTTAGCGAGTACACTCATGGACAGACATTGAAGAAGCTAAATTGGAACATATGTGGGGAGCTGTCACTGTAAGGATTTAAATGAATACTAATGATGACATTCTCTGCAATATATCAAAAAATATAGGAATAGATGTTAAGTGAAGTCACCTGCTGTAACATATTAGTAAGATTCTTTTATATTGCAGAACTTTAATGTTTGCACAAATTTTACCTGGTGTAAAATATCAAGCTGCTTTAGTAATCAGTAAGAGATTACAAATACGTACTCTACCCTACGTAGCAGTCACCTCACAACTAATATCTGATACTTTACAAACTGATATCAAATGTCATTGAAATATTGTTCGTACAATCAAACTTGTATCACTTTTCTGCTTCAGCAAGGTTGACAGTAACTATATTTTTTACTTCGTAAAATCACTTCTCGACTTCTCTCCAAATGGTTCACTACTTCATTCCAAACATTTTTCTTTGTCTAACTTATCTTGCTGCGACATTGTTTCAAGAGACTGCAATGTATGATTTTTATCTCGTCTTTTTTTTTTTTTCTTTCTTATGCTCTGTTAATTGTCTATTGTCTGCAATTGTCCCTCTGTGTTGTCCATAAATAAACCTACGATATTTACCATTTTTAGTCTTCTTCAATAACCTGCAATTGTCCCTCTGTTCTTATGCTATATTAATTGTCTATTGTCTGCAATTGTCCCTCTGTGTTGTCCATAATTTGCAATTGTCCCTCTGTTTTCAGCCCACCCCATCAAGTGTATCAACCTTGCTAATTATTTATTGTCTCTAAGATTTGTTTTAAAATTTTGAGTCTCTTGTTTAATGCCATCTGCCAAATATATTAGGAAAAATTTGATAGTGATGACATGATTGGTCATAGAGATCATGTATTGAAACATATGAGAAGGTTGTGGAACAATTGGAGAGGATCTCTACACATGAATGTGAAGTCTAAGCCATTGCAAGAGGTTCTAAAAGATGTGCCAGAGGGGGTCGACAAGAGTGATTGGAAAATGTTGGTCAAAGAGCATTTTCTATTTGAAAAATTTAAGGTAGGATATTCCCATTGGCATCTTTAATCATAGCTATAGAATTTTGATTTCTGTCTCAATATTTTCTCTTAAACAGTTAGCCATCTATTCATCTGCAATTGAGCTTCTTTCTCTGTATCCTACAAACCTATACTAGTCTGGATAGTAATCAATGACTAGATCACCAATAACTTTTCGTTGGATTCCTCCACTCGATCATCCACACTACCCATTCCATGTTACTTCATCATTTTTAGCGGCTCCCAAAACTGAAACATGTAACATATTTAGAAATCGAAAAGGCTTATTTTTCTGATTTGTATTAATAGTGATTTCCATATGGATAGGTGAGTGATTTGAGAAGAAATTCTCCTTGAATTGAGTTGTACTATTACCATAGTTGATAATCCTAAGGATCCTGTGCCAGCTGAAACTGTGTTTCTTTCCCTTATATGGTCTCTTCTAATTTTTCTCTTTGTTCATGAGAAGGTTTTGATAACTTATTCCTTTTCTTTCCAGATCATATGCAAAACTTTTTCCTAAGGTTCAACTGGGGTGGTTCCAGAAATGACGACCAAAAATAACTTATATTTGACAGATTTTAATATGTCACCATCCGTTATTCAGTCTTGTGTCATCCCATCATGCTTGGGCCCTTTAGATCTTGTAGTTGATTTTAGTGTAGGGTCTTTCAATTATGGTGTTGCGTCTCATTATTACTTCAGAGTTTGGAACTTGACTGTTGAAACTTATTGTCATCTTCTTTCTGAGGTGGACTTGAAAGTATAAAGCATGTCAAAATTTCAATATTTCAAATGCACTTGTGCTGATCACTATGTTTCCTTTGGCTCTTATTAAATGATTCCTCATGTCAAAACTTGCTTGTTCCAGCCTCTTCTTTAAGCAGGAAATTGTGTATCATAATGTTGCTGATGTGCTGTTAATATAGGAAAAAAGTATGCGAAATACAATGAACAGGTCTAAGTTGAGTATGCCTCATCGTACGGGTAGCAAACCTATTAGAGAGATAATGTATGAGTTGGTACGTATGTGATTCTTTTAATCTTATTAAGAAAGCTACTCTTCATTTCAGGTATATGACTACCTGTTTGAATGTGAAGGGAGGCAAGCATGGTAATCCACCGGACATGGCGACTATCTTCTTTGAGACTCGTAAGAAGGACAACAAGCTTCTCGAACCTGAAACCAATCAAAAATACGTATGTTCATTTTAAAGTTTTATTTTACGTACTTTTACTTAATATATTGCACTATCTTTAAATTTTCTTGTACTTTACAAGAAGAAATTCAGGAAGTACTACAAGTTGGCCCGTCACTTACTAATATTGAGGTAGTAGAGAGATGCTTCAGACCTTAGAGCTTGAATCATGTTGTTGGATTTGGTGGCGGGATTACCAGTAAAGATTTGAAAGGAGGTAGCTCTGCAAAAGCTGCACTTTTAGAACAACTAAATGTGAGTCGAAAAGAAAAGGTTGCACTGTTAAAAGAACTGAATGCGAGTCGAAAAGAAAATGAATCAATGAAAAGACGCATGGATAACATAAAGAAGAGATGTGAAATATTTGAAAGTACAATCTTTAGAGATCCTTCATCACCACCATCATCAAGTGAACAAAATATTGGTTGAACCATTTTACAGGTTAGTAAGCTTGTTAATGTGAAACAAAGTATTTTTCAGTTTAGTAAGCTTGTTAATATGTATAAGCTGATCATATCATGTTGCCATTGTTGAACACCATTGTATCCAATAACTGTAATACAAGGGACAACCTTCTATGGATTTATGTAGCTCATGTAAGGGTATATCTACATGAAAAGTGCACATAGACAGCATGACATTGACAGCAACATTTCCAGATTTTTGGACTCATCAACTAATTAGAAAGAATTCACAAAGTTTTGAATGGCTTCGAAAACATTCCCATTGTAGATCACAGTTGTAACACCTTAGAAAAAAATTTGAACTAAGACTCGAACCGTTCTTCGTAGTGAGTGACATTTTACTATGGAATTAAAAATTTCTTAAGTATTAAGGTCAGGTCACTAGATGTAGCACCTTGAGTTCTAAAAGAACTAATGAAAATAGCAAAAATCTGAAATTTTGCAAGTTAAGCTAAGTATGAGTTTGGGTTGACTTCAAATGACAATAAATCCTATCTCAAGATGAGTTAGGTGTTCTACGAGATACCGTAGGAAATATCTTTGAATTATCTTTCCAAAGCCATCGAGTTTGCTCAGTTTTGAGTTCGTATGAGGGAGATATGTGCATTCGAAGTTGGGCTGTTTAGATAAGCAAAGTCAAAACCGGATTTTAGAGAGGTATTTTGGTCTTTTCCTTACCCAATCAGATTTAATTCGTTTTTAGTAATATTTTTAAGGGTCTAATCCTATTAGGTTCAAGAAGAGAAAAGAGGAGATGATTAAAGCGTTCGTTGAGAGCCTTGTGTTTTGTTGCGGATTTTTGCCATGGGTTTAATCCCTAAGAGGTATGTAAGTCTCCATAGTGTTGGGTTTGTTCACCCACATGCCAAACATATTATTTTCAGTGAAGTTTCATTCTCAAAAAGTTGAAGGATTTAAGTTCTTGATAGGTATTCTTGAAGTTCATTCTAAATCTTGTTTTGTTGGGATTTTGATGATATCTTGAAATTAAAGTGATTTTTTGAGTGTTTTTTTAGTGGATTAGTGTGTACTTAGGTTGGGTGATCGAATCTAAGGAAAACCTGAGAAAAGAAATCGATTAAAAGTGATTTAGGATTAGAAAACGAGAGGCAAAATTCGTCGAATTGGCCTGGGGAGAGGCTAGGGCGGCGCCCCCCAGATGAGACCAAGGGTCTGGGGCGGCACCCCTGCAGTGTGCCCATATGCAGTCTCTGAATTTAGGGGCTGGTGCCCCACGCCCGGAACGCGCCAGGGTCGCCTGCCCCCACTCATTTTCCGTCAGTTGTCCCGTTTGAGTCCCTTTTTAAGTGTACCTTCACTCCCTTTGATTCTAATCACTTTAAAATACTTCCAAACACCTAGAAATCATTCATAACCTTGAATTCATAATTCAAATTCAAGGTAAAGTTAAGACCTAAGTCTTGAGAGTTCTTCCGATCATTTTGAGAAAGTCCCTTTGAGTCTTTTTGAGGAGTCTTCTACAATTTCTAATAACTTGTTTCAAGACTCAAGTAAGTGAGAATGAGAGTGAGGAGAATGTATTCATGAGTCAACACTATCACCTAGAATCTTCATCTCATGAACCATGACTCCTGAATTCATAATTCACATTCAAGAGAGAGTTAAGAGTAGAAGTTCAGAAAGCCTTTGAGTTCGATTGTGAACCCTTTGAGATCAACTATTGATTTGAACTAAGTTATGAGGAAGTAAGTAAGAGAATGAGAAGAGTAGTATATATGAGTTCCATAATGTTATGTAGACCTACGAGTCAAGTCGTTCATGCCCATAAATTCCGTATGAACTCCAAAAGTTGAGTACCTATGAGAGGAGCAATATCTTCATGTCCTAAGTCTTAAGTATTGAGTTTCTAACCCATTTGAGGCTATATTCCTAATCATGGGACTATTACATGTTACCCATGAAGTCCTTGAGTTGGGTTATTCATGTCCATAATTCTACATGAACCCTATCAGTCGAGCAGGCTTGAGATGAAAAGTATCTTTGAGTCCTTGAGTTATCTATGACTCTGTATCATATGTCACCACCATTTTTCCTTTTGTACGTGCCATAATCTTCAAAGCAAGATTTCAAAGAAAGGGTTTGTGAAGGTTAGTTGAAATCGAACTCATTTAGGATCACATTCAAAAACTATCCTATGGCTCGCCTAATGAGAAGGCTAATTGCCTAATAGGATCGGCAAGCTCCGTTGAGCTCATCGAATAAGACAATAGCAATTATCTTACAGATTAGGCAGAAAGGGCAAAGTTAATTCCAACTCAGCGATTTGCCTAGTTGGTTTGGGCGGACAAAGACAATATCGCTAAAACCTACAGTGTAAAATGCAAAGACACATGCCTCTAGGGCTGTCACGACCCAAGGGTACCTCCTAGGTGTAACAAGGCACATAGAACCCCAAAAGGCACTATTTAAGACACTTAGCAAATCATAACATAAGTAAAGAACAATAGGGAGTAAAAACACTTTTCAAGTCTTAAAAGTTTTCATCAAAAGCATAGCGGAAGTCTAGACTTGTCTCAATTAGCCATCTATTACAATCGAAGTCTCAAAAGAGAGTCACAACCCTTACAACATTGCTCTCAAATGAGAGTACAGGAAAAGAAACTATGAAATCACCATCCGTCCTCGAACTTTGAGGACTCACCAAAAAGAAAGGAGAATACTCGATCCAAACTTTGACCAAGAAGGAAATCACCTCAAGAACCGGTCCCTACACTTATGTAAAAATGTAAAAAATATGGGTTAGTACAAAAATGCACTAAGTATGATAAACATACATAAAAAAACCTTGAAAATATGCTAAAGAGGGACATTTTAGTTCAATACATGCCATTTGCTAAGTTGAAGCATCATTTGGAAGATAACGGAAAAGCATAAGTCATAAGCATAAACAATTCATAAGTCATCATGTCATAAGAGAAACATACCATAAATACCCAGAAAGCATACTTGTGCAATGCATGGATAAGATACCATAATCTCACCCATACTAAGTAAAACTTCTTGAGTAATTATAGTTCATAATTCAACTTCTTGTTCATATTACCTTAATAGGGAATAAACTTAACTGACATAGACCATGTGAGCTAATCATGGAATCCGGTGTCTACCCCACACCGAAAAAGGGTTGTCCTACTTGCCTAAGGTAGAGCCATACTCTTAGCTTAGGTGTATCCACTAGCTAAAGACCTATGTGGGCACATAGTTATGGGATAGGGATATTGCTTCTAGAAACTCGAACTCAACTATGGTAGAAGATTTTTGATTAACGTTTCAAAGATACTTCTTCCAATTCTAAGTGTCAACAATCGTTTGTCAGTATAATTACCCAACTAAATGAGTTAGGGTCAAATCCCACAAGGAGCAGTACATGTTTAAGATTCAATCGGTAAGTTCAAAGATGTTCGAATCAGTCATAGGAATAGACATTATCGAGTAACAACATAGTTCAAATTAGGGGGTGACACAAATGTCAGATGGGGTTTTTGAATGTTTCAATTATGAACAACAGCAGCAACAAATAACACGAAATAACAATAGGGAGACGGGTTCTTGGGATGTGATTTGATTATAGGCTAATGTAGACAAATGGGTAATTGTAACTGTTAGTAAATCGTTGTAAATTGGTGAATAAGATAGACTATAGAGGGGATAAACTTTCTCTCGAACATCGACAAACATGCAATTAAGAACAGCCTATGCTTTAGTCCATTCACACTCTCGAGGTGAATGTGTGGAAAAGGGTTTAGTATTCACTATCTCGAGCTGAACCCATGACAACCCAATACCCCCAGACCATCAATTCAGTAATCTTGGTTTTAAAACCTCTCTCTCGAGTAAGTCCAAAAACACAAAGTTAGAACTACATTTGCAACTACAATTCTTTAAATTGAACCACAATTACTGATTGAAATCACTTCTAAATAGCATTTAAACTAACAATTAGCAATACCCACAAGCTATATCAACCCATAATCACACCCCAATAATTGGGGTTTTAGCTAGACATCATAAAAGGATAGAAATCGTTACCAAATTGTGTTTTCTGCAACTCGGTAAGATTAATTTCATCTTTACAAAGGTCCAAATTGAAGAATCTCAAAGACCCACTTTCAATTTCTCAAAAATGGAAAACTTCAATTCTTCAAAGCTAAGTAAAACTTGTCTCTCAGTTCAAAACTTTGAAATCAGATAGAAATTAATGATTCTAAAATTGATAAAAGCCCCTGAACTAATTGTTCAAAAATGTATTTATATCCACCAAATATATGCTGCGAAGAGCCATTCAGTGTAGTAAGTCGGGCTCGCCGATCAACTCGGCGATGCAACTTTTAGCCAATTTCATTGCCTTTTTGCCTTGGCCTTCAGCATACTCCAGGCCTGTAACTATGGGCAATCTAATACTGCATCGCGGAACCACTCGGTGATCCGCTGACTGCTTCTTTCTCTCGCCGACTTGATTTTCTCCTTTAGGGCTTAGCACACTGGAACTTTAGGCGGTCATTGAGGCCACTCGGCGA